GGGGGGCAGCTGGGCTGGGGCTGGGGAGCCCCGGCCGGCTGGGCCACTCCGCCTTTGGGGATCAGCTGGAAAGTCACGATGGGCGGCAAGGGCTCCCGCGGGGCGGGGAGGTGCTTCGCGTCGGGGGGCCGGCTCTGGGGGGCGGCGCCAGGGTGGGCGCCCTCCGCGGGAGCCAGCACCATCCCGAACATCTCGCTGTACTGGGTGTCGCTCACCTCCACGCGGTTCATCCAGTCCGCGGGCACGGTGACGGGGTGCAGCCGGCCCAGGCCCCCCACGCCGCCGCCGCCGGGGGGCACGATGTGGTGCTGGGTCAGCAGCTGGCTCACGGAGGGCAGCGCCGGGCCGGCCCCGTGCGCCAGAGGCTGCAGCTCGTGCAGGTTGGAGAAGGACAGGGCGTGCTGGGCGTGGGCCGGGGCCGGGGCCGCCCCGGGGGCCATCAGCGGGTTGGGGGAGGCCTGCAAGAGCCCGGGGGACGTGATCATGGGCGAGGAGGTGGCGTCAGACACGTACGTGTGCGGAGACTCCAAGGAGTCGACAGGCGACAGGGTCACCGAGCTCTCGGACAGCTGGCCCTTGTCGCTCAGCGACTTCTTCCTGCGGCCGCCCTTGGCCTCCTTGGCCTCCCGGGCCAGGTTGGGGAGGCTGGTGGGCACGGCGCTCTTGGCGTTGGGCCGCCGGGGCTTCTTGCCCATCGGGGTGTGCTTCAGGCTGAGGAAAGCCCTGTTGGGCCCGCAGATGACCGGCGAGAGGGCGGAGGGCAGCGCGGCTCCCGGCGGGCTGGGCGCCACGTTGTACTCGTCCAGCAGCCGCACGATGTCGTGGTGCATGCGGTCGCGGGCCACGTCGCGCGGCAGCCGGTCCATGTGGTCCGTGATGTCGCGGTTGGCGAAGTGGTCCAGGAGGACCTTGGCCGCCTCGTAGCTGCCCTCCCGCGCGGCCAGGAACAGCGGCGTCTCCTCCTGCAGGGAGGCCCACGCCGCGTTTCCAGAGTGTCCGGAAGTGCAGGCGCTGCCGACCCTCGCGCTCCCGCCCCCACTCCGGGCCGCCTCCCCGACAAGCCGAGCGGAGAGCGGTGCGCTGAGTGGGTCCCTGTGCCCTCCTGCGGGCGCCCAGCTTTGCAAGGCAGGTGTGAGGGAGAGACTGCGGCGGGAAAGGCAGGAAGGGATGACCCTGGGAGACCAGGACCGGGCACGCGAGCGGGGGGCG